TTTTGTACCATCTTTAGCAACCATTGAATCTGGGTTGGGCTTTGATAAAGATGATTAAAATTGATATTATTGTCATTATTACTACTATTATTATCGTCTTCGTCATCATCATTATCATCATCATCATCATCATCATCATCATCATCATCATCATCATCATCATCATCATCATCATCATCATCATCAATCATCATCATCATCATCACAATGCCATCATCATCATCATCATTATTGCTACCACCTCATTATTATCCATCATTATCATACAAACTTTCCATTATCCCATAAAATGCGACCATTAGAGCAAAACTATCCAATGTAAACTATAAAACAAGAAGATACTATAAGAAAGAAGGAGAGAGAGAGGAAAGTACAAATGATGAGAATAATAATCTGTGATGGTGGCTTCCGCATCCCCCCTCCCCCCTCCCCAGTCTTTCGAAATGTCTGAATCCGACCCTAGGAAAACGCTAGATTTTTTTGTATGTGAATTTGACTCTACGTTGTTTGTTTGCTTGTTTATTGTTTGTGGATGTGTTTCTGTTTGTTTGTTTGTTGTTTGTTGTGTGTTGTGTGTTTGTTTGTGTGTACACATGTTTATATATATATATATATATATATATATATATATTATATATATATATATATATATATATATATCATGTGCGTCTGTATGTAAATATATACACATATGTATAAATACACACAGATGCACATGACACATACAGAGAGAGAGAGAGAGAGAGAGAGAGAGAGAGAGAGAGAGAGAGAGAGAGAGAGAGAGAGAGAGAGAGAGAGAGAGAGAGAGAGAGAGAGAGAGAGGAGAGAGAGAGAGAAAACAAGAAGAAAGAAGAGAAAGAGAGATTAGATAAAGACGATACAGATTGCTGTAAGAACATAAGAATAAAAAAATGATAAGAAAAACACTTTCTACTTTAGATTAATCTTTCTATTTCCTTACGTATGTACATCCCTTTTTCTTCTTCTTCTTACTTAATTCCCTTTTGTTTGTTTTGTTTTTTCTTTGGCATTTCCTTCCAATTCATGTCACTCGATTTTTTCCTCTAAAAAATGTTCATATTTGCACCTTCAACATATCGCTTATTTAGCTATTATCAAAACCAATTTGATTTTAATCTTATTTTCATAACACATCAAATTTTCTTGATCTTATTATCACAGTAATAATCAATCACAATGTACCAGTTATATGTTGTTGTTTTTGTTTTTGTTTTTTTTGCATATCTTAACATTTTTTAAAATGCACTTCATACTCTTAAACATAGGAGGAATTCCATATATTTATTTTTCTTTAATAATATATAGCAATCTACTATTACACTGAAAAAAAACGTATTAATTTCATTCAGTTTATAACAGAGCAGGATGACATTACGACCTTTGACCCAATAAGCAGGATTTAGTGACCTCAAGTTAACTTTTTTTCACCCAAAGAAAGTTTGACTTCTTTTCTGCATCTGAAAACTTAATTACAGAGTGAATTTGGGTTTTTAATATTAATACAAATTCGTTTTGCACAGCTTCCTTGTTCCTAATACATAATAATCAAAATTTGCGACTCATTATACCTCATTAAACGCAAAATCGCCGAAGTCATTAAATGTGCTAAATCCATTTTATTATTATAATTGATACTTTAATTCCATTTAAACAATTGAATAAAATACCCAATTAGTTCAGAATAGTTATGATGATCCCGTAAGTACATGTTAATAAACAAGTAGTATTTTTCCAAAACTTCTTACCCAGTCCTTTATCTACAATTCATATTTCATAGGAAAGGAAATAAATTATTTGTGTAAATAGTCTGTCTTAAAAAGAATGCCTTTAAAGAAAACAAAATTGTTTATGCTACCATAGAAAATGTAAATTATAGGGGGAGTACTTCTCAATTTCATATTATTTCACCAAAAACAGAAAACTACATTAACGAAAAAAAAAAAAAAATCGCCATTTACTCTTTAAAAAAAATCTATCTGGATAAACTATGGTATCTTTCAATACTTGTGAGATGCAAAAATAATAATTCTAGCAAAATGATGAATCAGTCACATATAACTGTCTGTAATAGGTATCAGGTTTAGCAGAATTATCAATATAATTACAGTAGCAGGGCCGGTTTTAAGCCGATTTGACCGATTTGACCAAATTGGACCCCGTACCTGAAGGATCCCCGTGCCAGCAAGGTCCTTTTTTATCATATAAGTAAAACAATAAAATGTTTCATATTGCCTTTCAAAAATTTCTTATACCAAGCATTTAATGTTGATTCGTTCTTTTGTTGATGTGTATAGTTGTTTTTTTTTACATGAAATATAAGCATCCGTAAATTTTACTACGTAGAATATGGGGGCCCATTATCAGGCTTCTAATTGGGCCTGATAGTAGCCATTGAGAAAACTGAGGGGTTACACATCCATTATATTATCTTGTACTTCTTTCTAAATTCAGAGTAGCTCCGTGTCAATATTACAAACTGATTTTTGATCCCTCCCTCTTATTACTAGCAGTACTGTAATTATCATTATCATCATTGTCGTCATTGTCACTGTCACTGTCACTATCATTGTCATCGTCATCATCATCATTAATATCACTATCATTATTATAATTATTGCTATCATTTTCATTATCATAATAATAATAATAATAATAGTAATTATAAGGATAATAATCATAATATAATAAATACTAATAGTAATTATGATGATAATAATGATAATAATAATTATTATTATGATGATAATAATCAAAATAATCACAATAATAATAATTATAATAATAATATTAATATTAATAATAATTGAAATAATAATAATAACAATAACAATAACATATCATCAACAACAGTAAATGATAATAATAATTATAATATAATAATAATAATAATAATAATAAAAATAATAATAATAATAATAATAATAATAATATAATAATAATAATAATAATAATAATAAATAATAATAAAATAATATAATAATAAATAATAATAATAATAATAATAATAATAATAATATAATAATAATAATAATATTAATAATAATATAATAATAATAATAATAATAATAAAATAATAATAATAATAATAATAATAATATAATAATTAATAATAATAACAATAATAATAATTATTATTATAATTATAATAATGATAGCATCAATAGCTATAATGATAATAACAAGAGTTATGAAAAAATTAATAACAAAATCAACAATAATAATGATCATCATCATCATTTCCATCATCATCATCTAAATATACCTTGTTTCATAATTTCGATTTCATGCAGCATAACAGGTATTAGATTAAAAAACATGTCTACACAGGAAAAAGTCCATATTTATAATTTGACGATAATTTCATATACATCAGTGAATATCATACAGATCAGCCAATTTGATTTGCTAAAGTTTGCTGAACATAATTATCATGACTTTTTCACTCAAAAAAATAATAGTTTCAATGACATACATTTAGATATTAAAAAATCCTTTTACAAATTTACAAAAACTATATATATAAATATATTCAACAGTATACACTACAGGGTTATCTGAACATGAGAACAAATCATAACAAAACACATTTCTTTTGGTCAAGAAGCTCTAAAAGTCTATTTTGCCATAAAATAATAATCCTAAGAAACCCACCAATAATTTAATAACAGGACGCTACACACAGTGTGGCATTTGTTCCCCCAAAACCAAAGGAATTTGTTAGGGCTATTCTTCTGTCCGCCATCTGGAGCCAGGCTTTGGACTCAAGCGGAACGAAGTCCAAGTCTAAGCCCGGTGATGGATCCTCGAGATTTGCCGTGGGAGGAATGTAACCTGCATGGCAAGCTAGAATGGTGAGGATGGCTTCGACAGCTCCTGCCGCACCAAGTAAGTGACCCATTGCTCCCTTTGTCGAGGATATGTGAAGATTTTCTGCATGTTCTTCGAAAAGGGATTTAATGGCAGTGACTTCAATAGCATCTCCGAGGGGTGTTGATGTAGCATGTGCATTTATGTAACGGACATCCTCTATGCTCACTTGTGCTTCCTCAATGGCCATCTTCATGGCTCTCATGGCACCTTTTCCATCTTCTCTTGGTGCAGTATAGTGGTATGCATCACCTGAGAGTCCATACCCTAAAATTTCCCCATAAATGTTCGCATTTCTCTTTAGAGCATGTTCCAGTTCTTCAAGGACTAAAATGCCTGCCCCTTCCCCCATGACAAACCCCTCACGCTTGACATCAAATGGTCGTGAAGCTCTTTCAGGGTCATCATTAAAATTTGTGGCAAGAGCTCTCAGTCGACAAAATCCAGCAATGCCTAAAGGGGTAATACTCGCCTCTGTGCCACCACATACCATTACATCTGCACTTCCATGCTTTATGAAACGAAATGCATCTCCAATTGCATGAGCTCCTGTGGCACACGCTGTGGACACACTGTGGTTTGGGCCTTGAAATGAATACTTCATGCTAATCTGTCCAGCGGCCATGTTGGTCAATATTCTAGGAACAAAATATGGGCTGACTTTGCTGTATTTTTGCTGAAGAGCTTGACCAGTTGTGAGGACATCATCAAGGTCAACCATACCCATACCCACAGCCACACCTGTTCTCTCTTGTTCCGTGGGACACTCTGGTTTCCAGTCTGCATTTTCTATAGCTTCCTGAGCCGCAACCAAGGCATACGCAATAGCAGGTGTCATTGTTCGTAGGTCACTAGGACTGAAGTGTTTGGAGAGGTCAAGCTGTCCCTCTTCCTTCCCACGAGGTACAGCTGCTGCTACACGACATGGCATCTGCAAGAAAAAAAATTACGAATATGTATAATTTCTATATACAAACATTATTAGAACTGCTATCATTTCCTTTGTTTTGATTTATGCCACCTTCAATGCTTTAGGAACATTCTTAAACTACACAATATCTTTCATGTTTCATAGACTTTATTATTACTTTTTTCTATTAATTTTTTTAAGTACTATATCAAAATATTTCTTAAATTAGTGCTATTATATCCTCCTAATACATACACGAGATTTACTTTAGTCTACACTCTTTCCATAATCTATATATATCCAGTGTTTTTAATGCTAAAATTTGGAATTAACTAAAACTCAATCATAGATCTTAAATAAACAAATATCAAATGATGGAAAAATATCAACACTTCAGTGTAAATTTTTGTCCCTCTTTATATCAATTACAATTGACATTGATTTTTTAATGGTATATATATCATATATATATATATATATATATATATATATATATATATATATATATATATATATATATATATATATATAATATATATATATATATATATATATATATATATATATATATATATATATATATATATATATATATATATACGAAAAGCTTTAAAAAGGGTATACAGTAATATAAAACAACAATCAACATAATGACGATTATACAAAATCATCAAATACTATGTTAATTTTCTACATTTCCTTTAGTGTTAAGCAGGTACATAAACTGACACAACATAAATCAGCTAAAAAAAACAAATTTTTAATCAAACCTGTGAAAACCGAGGATCTGTAAGTGCTGCCGTGCCCACTTTTCCTGCAGTGAGCTGTAACCAAGTAGTGGGTGCACCCACTCCAAGAGGTGTCACCAACCCTAATCCTGTTACAACCACACGCCTTGCACAGTTCATCTTCCTGAAAAAGAATTAACTTATAAACAAAAATCCTTGCTTGTAACATATTAATGTATGTATGAAATTTTTGACAAGAGGTTAACTAATTCCCAAAGTCACAGGTGTTTTAATTTCATTTTCTTTACCCAATTTTCTTTTATTCTATTTTCATATTACAAATTTAATTTTAAACTAACATGATTTACACAAAATTAAGGATTGTGACCCACATTATCTCATGTGAACAGCAAAGTTCAGAATTTAATATGCATACAAAATGAGAAAATTTACATTCTTTTTGCCTACTGCAATATACAATTACCTCAGCTCAAATTATTTTGACTTGCATATCTATGGAATATACATTACAAAACGGGAAATAGAAAAAACATTTAATAGCCATCCTTATATCAATAAGAAGTATTCATAACATGACACTTAATTCCAAATAAAATGGAACTTTATTAAGGAAACTTTATTAAGGAAAATAAATACTTAATGCTAACTATATCCACCTGTATAAATTCTAATATATACATCGAAAAAAATAGCACACACAACTGTCAAATAGTGGAAATGATAACGAGAGAAAAGTAACATTCAAAATCAGTTACAACTATCGTTCCTTAACATCATTCTCAATGGATAAAAAATGTATTGTTGGTGTCTCTGGATATATATATAGCAAAATACTGGTCCGAGATGAATATATAATTCTTTCCTGTCAGTCTTATCCATATGTTCAACTCTGACACTATATATATACTGACAACCATGCTAATAGAATTAATTCACCTGCAATCCATCAATGAATAAAATGTATCAAAACTGCAAGTGAATGGCAGGTCAAATAAATCTTACAAATAAAAAAAATCTAATGCAGACGAAATTCATCCATTTTCATCTCTTCTCGTGCCTTGTCATAAGCCATAATCACCAAAAAACGTGTTTAACATAATCAATCAATAATAAATAGAATCATTTATCCCCTAAATTTCATAATCATGCACAAATAAACAGTAATTATACCTCCTTACGTAAGTACGGTAATGTTGCAAGCTCGTTACTGTCGTCTGTTTGTTTACCTTTTTGGTCGCTTAAACACTGATGCGATTCTTGATCTTTAGCGTATATAATTTGGCATTTTCTCGCTATTTTTCATATTATTATGGTGTTCTTGAGACGTTGTTGTTGCGAGATTACAATTTTGTTTTGTTTGATAAGTTATCGGTGCAGTAGATATACTTTTTGATAATTATCTGCGAGTGTTAAGTTATAACTGCTCATTGCAGTGGTCCCAAGTTTACTCGGTGTTTCTGTGTATTTCTTGTGTTTTATGTAGTTTTTATATGCTACACTTGAAAAATCCTCATAATACGATTTTTCTGTGTATTTCTTGTGTTTTATGTAGTTGTTATGTTTACCAATGGTCTTGATAAATCCTTATTCGTACGATTTCTAATCATTTAAACTTTTATTATACCTCAGTTTCCCCACTATACTTTCCAGAAACACCGGTTTACATTACGCCCGTATCCTTTACACCCTCAAAACTCAGAAAATCCATCATTTTCACAAATTACCTACAAAAACAAGTACCCACAGACACAAAGACAAATTTTTACATCATGAAATTATCCAATAAATACCACATTAAGATAAAAATAAAAGACACAATACCCATGTCGACGTTTCGCCAGTGTTTTGATTGTGCAACCTCGAGCAGAAGACGTGACTCTAACCCGGTCGAGAAAATCCTTATTTTATCCTCTCTTTGAGCCTTTGGGAGTTATTTATCTCCCTTTTCATCCTTCGGGGATCAAGTTTCTGTTATTTCGGCTGTGTTCGAGGGTCAAGTGAGTTGTTTTATTGGTGTTATGAAGGTTTTGAGGTGTTGTGATGTGACGGTGGAAGTGCATTGATATATAATCTTGATTTTTTGGTATTTTTATCGGTGTTATTGATATTTTTTGTTGTTTTTATACTTTTTTGTTGTTTGTTTTTAAGGGGTTGTGATTTGTATGTGATGATGACCTTTGTTAAGGGAAATTTTAGTTATAGTTCAAGAATGGTTGTGTAATGGGTTTTCTGTAATCGTTATTAATGACTGTTGTAGATTTGATAAGTGTAGAGTTGATTTTAAGTCTTACGAAAAGTGCTTTGCCGCTGATACCAACTGTTCTGGTATTTAAAGTGGCCATTTACAGCTGACAACCGCAGCGGTGATGTTGGTAATAAGAAAAACATGTTTTTACGTAATTACTGTTGTGTTTGCTGCTTATAAGCTCTCCGACAGAGGCCAATTATTTACCAAGCTATTTTTTTCTGGGTGGATAGAGCTTTTAGGTATTTGAGGCCATTTATTATAGAAAATGGAACAGATCCAAGTTCTTGTCTCGCCATACCTCTATACCTCTAGGGTGAGGGTTTGTTGGCCTCTGCTGGAGCACTGACAGGCACAGAGGTTGATCCCCAGCTCACTTAAAAGGGTATTGCTTTAGGCATCATGTATGAGTCTTTATATGTATGAAGTTTGTATCAGTTTTTGTTATTAGTTTTTTTTTCTTTTCTTTTTGCTTTGCTTATGCCGCAAGTTTCCTATTGTATATCATGCCTTCGAACTGCTAAGGCCAATATGATAACTGTTTCAGGTCAGCAACTACTAAAACAAGAATAGATAGACATCAGTATCATAGGCAATCCATTAGTAACAAAATTGTTAGTAATGGTGATGAAGCAGTTTTAGTAAGAACGACCAAGTTTGTTTCTGTGTTTTGGCTGGCTCTATGAACGTTTTATTTTGGTGAAGAGCATTAAGCAGCACCAGTATTACGTGTCTTACTAGTAAATTTCTGATTTTGACCAATATGAACCTGCCGTCATGACTTAAAAAGGGAAGTGTAAATACCATAAAATTCCATGCAGGTACAGAAATGATTTTTGTACCAAATCAACCAGACACAGGAATCAGATGCAGCTTTTGGTAAAATTTAAAAATCAGTGATGGAATGATAGATATGAAATAAGTTAACATTTTCACAAGTGTAATTCATAACACCAAACAGACCTTTTCACAGGCCTACCATTATTTCTATCATTACAATTACATCTCTCGTAGTAATAACCATGTTGCTTGTAGTTATAAAACAACTCTATATATCTCAGTGAATTGTTTGATTTTTTAAAAACTATATCTGGTTTTATTTTTATACATGGAATGGCCAGTTTCCATTCATGCTTTTGTGGTCATCACCCACATTGTAAGTGATGGATGGGAAGTAAACTTTATATTTATTGGACTGTAATTGTAAATTTGTAAACTACTTCTTTGTACCAGTATCTTGGTCATAATGTATGCTAGTTGATTAATACAGTATACTTTTTGTTTTCAAGTTTCTGTTGTGTTTTTAAAATGTTTACAAGGTAATTGACATATATCCAAAGGATAGAATGAAGCATTTATTCAAAGCTTAAATATGTGTCTGTGAGATGAAATAGTCTTTGTCCTTCCATGTCTAATATGGAAAGTTGAATATCTTTCAGTAGTGTCTGATATAGTTGATTATTACACTGAGGCTATCACACAGAATTAGTCGTCGTGTGTGTGTGTGTGTGTGTGTGTTGTGTGTGTGTGTGTGTGTGTGTGTGTGTGTGTGTGTGTGTGTGTGTGTGTGTGTGTGTGTGTGTGTGTGTGTGTGTGTGTGTGTGTGAAACACAGTTATAGAAGAACTGGAATCATAGATCTATATACTATTAGAGCCAGAAACTGCTAGAAGAGAAAATGGGGGAGTGAAAAAGGATAGGGATAGAATACTGTAGCAGTAACCAGGCAAAATGGACATTCAAATCGGGTTGTCTTGCTTTTTGGGAATTCTGTTTACACATAGGTGGTTCCGCAAGTGCTCAGTCAGTTACCCCAGAGTCAGTTTATGTCTAAGTCGCCTCATCAGATTTCCCCTTCCTTCAGTTTTCAGGACAAATGTATTTTTTCTAATTTCCAGCAATTTTTATACTGTTTTTCTTGTTTTTTTTATTTTATGATTACTACAATGTCATGAAAATGCTAGTAGCAGGAAAAAAAAAAAAAATAGGCTTTCGAAAATTAGGGAAAAGAGGAAACAAGAATGATAGATAGGACTAGTCATTGACTTGTGGAGCCATATATATATATATATATATATATATATATATATATATATATATATATATATATATATATATATATATATATATATGTAATTAATAACCTAAAATCACGGAGGACATGGTATGTACTCACGTGCCATCCTGGGCAGCAATGGCTAAAGCACTGTCTAGTTTTTTTCACATTGAACGTTCATCTCTGCTTAGAGAATTCTTTTTTTCTTCTTCTTCTTCTTCTTCTTCTTCTTCTTTTTCTTCAACTTATTCCTGTTTCTGTATGGGTCGCTGTTCCTCACTAGCCTTCCATTTTACTGTGTCCATTGCATCTTCCCTTTTGAGTCCCTTGTCTTCCAGATCTTTCAACCTGTCCCTCCATCCTAACTTGGGTCTACCTCTTTTTTTACGTCCATCCACATGCATTTCCATAACTCAATTTCCAATATAGTCTTCTTCACTTCTGATGACATGCCCATACCAGTTAATCCTTCTTTCTTGCATCTTTGCACTCACTTCTTGTTTATGTGAATTAGGATGTACTATCATTAGTTATGATCATGGTAGAATGGAGGATATATATATATTTTATTAAATACTCTTTTTTGCAGGATGGCAGGAGAAGGTAGACAGATGCCCAAGTTGGACCTGCAGAAGGACATACCAAAGCTCAGCCAAGCACAGCTCGATTACATGAAGATCGTTGAGAATCAGGTACGTAGGTGAAATGGTCGTATAGCAACCTTCCTTGGTTCTTTATGAAAATAGAATTGATATTACAGGAAGTCCCCACAAACTGAAAGGGTTACATTTCTTGGACCTTTAGGGTTTGTGAATTTTATGATTTATGGCAATTTATGGCCTATAAGTTTAATCTTCATATGACATCCTTGAAAAAAAAATCACTTTTCTCTTGATAAGTTTTATTCATTTTGTCAGTATAGAAAAAAATGATAAATAAAATTAAAATAAGAGTACAATATAGCTTTCTCAGTTTTGGTCTAGGTATAGCATTATTCATGTACATATTTTTAGTACCATTGAAAAAGTAATAAAAACGGTCTGAATACAAATCTTTGGACTCTTCCATTGTGAAGTTATTCATTCTCACTCTATGTGTGTATGTTAATGCTTGTTCAAACATTGCAGAATATGCTGAGAGTCCAAAAGCTGGCACTGCAAAGACGGAACAACATTGCCGTGGGCTGTCTCCTTGGCGCGGGTGTTCTAGGAATTTATGCGTACTCCATCTACTCTGTCAAGCAAGAGAAATTCCTGGACGAGTTGGAGTGACACTTAACCGCTTGCGAAACTAGAGCCATGGGGTTGTACTTTCCATTTCAGAGCACTTAGCGAGGCAGTGGTTGGTCATTCTATGTGGTCACTTGACTGTCTTTCTTTGGGGAAGATGGAAAGGGAGTCGTGATTTTGTTTTCTGTCGGCTATTACAGAGAGCAATGGAGTTAGTTTATTTTCCTGCGGTTTTGCAAGGAGAAATGTGGGTATTATATTTTGGTCTTCAGTTTTCTCAAAAGTTAAAGGTCAACTTGAGTATTTGAATATAGTATACAGTGTACTCTTGTGCCTCTTTCAATTCTGAATTATCATTAAGAGAAATGTATTAAATTAATGCTATCAGGGTTTCACAATTATATTACAGGTACTTGCTAATGGACTCTGTAACTGCTGACAGCATTATGTAATAGTATAGGTATTTTCAGAAACTATATTTGTGTATTACAGCTGCATATGTTAATTATATTAATTTGTAGATGGTGGGCAACCACATCGTTAAATTATGAATATGTGATTGTAAATAAACGTTTTTCTTAAGGAGATTTATTATTTGAAACAGAAATACAAGATATACCATTTATACTATTTTGATGCCATCATCAGATGATTTACTTGCATAGTTAGACATGATTCACACTAATGGTATTAAGGGAAGACTGATAAGTCAGTGTATATAACCCATTTACAAAGACAACATAGACAACTTCACGCTCTTGTTAATCAAAGAAAAGAATGGGGAAAGAATCTGTATAGGTTGAAGCTCTTCTAATCCTTTTGGGGGAAAAGAACATGTTCTTGGTGCTTAAATGTGCGTTTTACTTTTTTTATAATAGATATTTGCATTGCTTGTATTTTGTGTAAGAATTGATATATATGAAAACTCATGATTTACCCAAATTTGATAAGCCTGGAAAACTTTACGTACACTTCCGAGCATGTAATAGTGAAATCTCTGTGATGATAATTGGAAGCTTGCTATGAGTGAGATTCTGAACAAGAAACTATACTGTATTCCGTTTTCGATAAATACATGAATAAGAACAGCCCAAATTTGAACTTGGTATAGTGGAACCTCGGGCACCAATTGTGACCTCTCACGGGTGGCTCATTTTTCAGAGAACTACATGTATATGGGCATTATCCTCTGTGGTTTTGTTTTATTGATTTTGTTAATACACATTTGGCTCTGAAAATGTTAAGTCACCAAGGAGTTACTTGGTACACCTACCTGACTTCATTTATTTACTCTGTTCCTTGAGTTTTTGTGATGAAAAGTATTTTTTGCTTTCAGTGTTATTGTTGTCAATAATGCCATCATGATTATAAAAAAGAACAACAATGATAACATTCTTTTCAAAAAAATTCAAGGAATAGGGTAAGCAGGTGAGGTGTGGTATGTCAGGTTATGGATTCTTTCCTGAATGCGCACTTGTGAACTGATTTGTGTGCATAGAATTGATGAGATAAAAGAGCAGTGAACAGGGTATATACTCAGGGCCAAAGGGTTAATATTCTGAGTGCGCAAGGTAGCACAAAATTAATCATACGAAGCTTTACTGTTTGGGGAGAATTTTTCATTTCCTGGGTTGGACACGTCTTACCAGAAGTATGTATGGGTACTCCGGTATTATGTGGCATCCCATTGGCATCATGTGTCCCATTTCCCACACCAACCATCCACAATGAATGCTCAAGGACTGATTCAGCATCCGTTGACCACAATCTGAGTGGGAATTTCAGACTCCTATGTGACTTTGGCCTCTTGTGGTTGCTCATGGTCTGTAACCTCTACTTGAGTCAACATTTTTGTTCTTTCTTTTTCATTAGTAACTGTTTCTGTAAGCCAAACCATTTTTCCCTAAGATTCAGATTTGTTAAGAGTGTTACACTATCATCTAGTCCATTTGGAAGAGGTTAAAGACTATATACCCATTTTTATAGGACGATTTTGTCCGATATATATTCAAATCACACAACCAAATACTCTGTTGGAACATGAAAATACTACAAGGCATAGGTTGAAAAGAATTATAGGTACACTTTGTGAGAAATATAATGTGCTTCTCTTGTTGTATTGTTAGATTTGGAAATGCAGCCGTCATTTATTATTTTGGCACAAGTTGCATTAATTTTGCAAAAAAAATGCTAGTTTTTTCATATCAGAAATGTACTATCTACAGTTATGGCACACAAATACTTCATCCTTTTTTTCCCTGAATGTGTAACAGTGAATATAAGCTTTTAAGAGAGAGATTTTCAGCAAAAGAAACTAAACCACATATTCTCAATGCATCTTGTTTTCTCTCTATCTATCTATCTATCTGTCTATCTTTTTCTTTCATTCTTTTTGAGTTTTTTTCCCCTTTAAGGCCTAGGTTCTGCATATACCAAAGTGTATGCAGAATCCCCTTATTTATTTTCCACAACCTATGAAAGACAGTGATCTTTCTAAAGCCCTCCAGATCATAGGGTTGACTGTAGACATGGTTTCTCGTCTTATCAAAAAGTGGGGATAAATTTTTTTTTTTTTTTTATAGATATAACAATATCTTATAAAAAAAAAATTCATAGATAACAATATCTTATTCTAGTGAGAGTAAATGGGCATTGCCTTATATCTTCAGGCTGACTCAGAATCGCAGAAAGATGTAAATCACCCCTTAAAGTAGATGAAGTACTGTGCCTTAAGGGATGTAAACCATTGTAAGATTGTTTTCCCATTATGCCTGTAACATTTTACCTGTATGTATATATTATTGCATCAACTTCATACACTAAAAAAAACTAACTGAACATTTTATTTATGTGTTAGCAGGGTCAGATAATGTGAATATATTAATAGTTCAAATTACTGGTGATGCTTTAGGACTTCTATATCCACACACTTTTTGAAGGAAGAGAATGTACTTGAGAACAGAAAAGAACTTGAAGTAAAATAATTTTCATTCATGTGCTGTATGAAAACAATATTTTTGTCTTCTGCAAATAGCAATAATATTTCTTTATCGTAAAAGGGACATCATCAGTAAGTGAAGGTTGATCCAAAAATTCACTTTTTCCGGTGATAAATGCACCTCCAGGACTCTTTTTCACAGCATAAAGAACAAGCACAATGGTCACAATTTAAGAGTTTATACCATCACTTATCACAGAAAAGCATACTAGTAAGTACACTATGAATATTGCTGTATAATAAAGAATATTGTCCATGCTGTGGCAAGTTGTTAAAGAGGATCCTTATGTAAAATTGTTGTATTGTCCATTACTGATAAAGGTAATAGATAGGAGGACTAAAGATATTATGAAGGCCACATAAGCTTTTTTAGGCTTGAACTCTCTATTCAATAAAGTGTAAATAAGTTTGTGCTACAAGACTTTTTAAATAAATGAATGTATGCATGTTCTAGATATCTCATTTGACTTTCTTGTAAGTTTTTTTAATTAATGTGGAAAATCGCTGAATGATACGAGCTTGTAATTCTGCACATAGTTTGCTATACTATTAAAATACATCTAATGTCATAATACATCCCTCTGGCAATGGGGTTACACTATTTCCAGCAAAAGACCCAGGTATTATACACTTAATGCAATGAGAGATTCACTTATTATTGGTTGTAATCAGAAGGAAGGACCAGAGAACAGGAGAAAATTCTTATTATTAATATTGCAAACTTAACTCTCTTAGAACAGGCCTGGGTATCAAGGGAAGGAGAGGTTTGCTTCTCGTGATATCGAACAGGATAAGTAGTAATCACTGTGAAAGGAAACGAAGAACAAAGGGTATCTCTCATAATCTTCCATCAACAGTTAATAAGTGTCATAGGTTTATTTGCCTGAAGAATGTGTTGAAAGAATGTGACTTCAATTTATATAGACTTACGTATAATGATTACATACTTTTACAACACAAAAAAGATATGCAGCAGATAAAAACTGTATGCTCTCACTTACAATGAGAGTCAGTGCCTTGTGCTAATGGGAAAAGGAGGGCCATGTGGTAGATTTCTTGTGATTTTGTAAATTATAGTCCCTTCAAAAAGTCCTAATCCACTCCTAGTTGAGAGTAAAAATGTAATGATCACAAACACAGTAGTGCATTTGCACAAAAGCGAAGTGTAACATGGCTGCTGCATGAGAAATTATGAATTCTTTCAGACTTGTTTCTTCAACAGACAATGAAACTGTAATGGACCTATTTTCAGTTTTATCGTCCTATGAGCATACTAGTCTGATTGGAAACGTCACATATCATTCTTCATTTTTTCATTGAGGTTGTGTTTCATATCATGTCGATTTAAACTTACTTTATTTGTCAAAATCCAGTTACATGTTTGTGGTTCTTTGTGCAGGTAATGCTTATATTTTTCTGTTTTATTTATTTATTTTTATTTTATTATTATTATCTTTTTAAGAGTTCTGTTGATGGTCTTTGATTAATGCAACACTACCCATTTATTTAAGAAGACAAATAATGGGAGCATGCTAATCCAAGGTCAATATATTATATAGACCTTGTGGTAATACTGAATGAGAGTGAGGATCCAGCAACTTGGGCACCCACTGTAGATGTGACATGAAAAGTGACTGTCACTGGCTCTTCTGGTCATGTCTATGCAGAGGTTCATTTTTTTTTTACCTTTCAGTGATTGTTGCAAGCACTCAGTGAAATATTTTGTGCTTTGAATATTCCTTCAACACGTTTTCAGTAAATTATATGTTGAAAGTTCATCTGGTTTGTGTGGTACATCATTCAGTGGTGTAAATAACTTTGTGCTAGAAGACTTCATAAATAAATGAATATGTGCATGTTGTGGATATGTCATTTGACTTTCTTGTAAGTTTTTTTTAATGTGGAAAAAGCATTGAAAGATATGAACTTGCAATTCTGCACATGTACTGAAAGAGAAAGGGAAAGAGAGACGGATATATAGATAACATTGAATGGAAAAACAATTTAAACCGTATTGATACTGTGGTAGAAAACCCCACAATGCACAAACTAGATTTATTGAAATATATGAGACAACAGTTTCTGAATCCTCGTGGAATAAATCTTTTGAAGATGGATTCCAGGAGGATTCAGAAACTGTTGTCTCATATGTCAATAAATCTAGTTTGTGCATTGTGGGTCTTTCTACCATAGCTAATCTTGTGTCCCTCTAAATGCCTCCATTTGATTTTTTTCATACTTTTAGAAATAGAATTTGTTAAAATATACAAAGGGCAAAATAAAACATCTCATACACATGGTATTATTTACTTGTAAGAATATAAGTCAATAACACACTCAAAATCATCACTAAACTGATGTAGATATTGTAAACCTTGACAAAACACTCACAAGATTATAAAAAATGATGCACATATAGAATATACAAAATACAAAAAACAGAGTGAAAGCCTTGCATATCTGTGAATAACTGATATATCACATTTGAACATTAGAATTCTTTCATATTCAGAGCATTTTAAATAGACTTGGGTTTAATTTTATGACCAATGCTCGGGACAACTGACAAACATTCTCACACATTACAAAGTGAACAGAAATTTTTAAAAAAAGGTTGTACTTTCACACTCAGAAAAAAAACTACTATTATGCTCTCAGACACGCCAAAAAAATACACACAAAATATGGAATAGGCATTTACTAAAAGTTGAGGTCTTACGAAGAAAAAAAAATACATATATACCCACAGATTAAAAAAAAGTCCTTATCCCCCCCCCCATTTTTTTGAAAAGGGGGGGAGGGGGGCTATCCACACCCACACTTTAGTCTCGTCTTTGATTTTAAATCCATTTCATTTCCTTTCCTTGTTTAGGACTCAACATTTTAATTTATACAAATAACATAGTATCAGTACCAGAAAATATATATATATATATATATGTCTATTCCCTGAAGGAGAATGAATGCCATCAACTTTCGCTCACTGGCACGGGCTCGGCCTGCCCGTCGTTGACCCTTCGTGATATGCTAATTTCAGTCCTGGTCTCGAAGCGGATCTTGGGGGTCGTCGGCGTGGGTCTCGGGGTCGTGGTGGTGGTGTGGGGGTCGTGGTGGTCGTGGTGGGGGTCGTGGTGGGTGGGGGTCGTGGGCCTGTTGGGGCGGGGGGTGGAGGGACGGCGGGAGGAGGTAGGGGCGGGTGTGAAGCGGGTACGGAAGGGTCGGGGGGTCGTCGGGGGGGAGGGGGGGCTGGAGGCCAGGTCGGTCGTGAAGGCGAAGAGGTCGTCGATGGGGTCGTCGGGGCTGGGGGAGCCTCCTAGGGGGGGGGAGAGGGGAGAGTTAGAAGTGTGTGGATTGGTATTACTATAACCATGATATTGATAATTAAAATAATGATGAATAATAATGATGTTGGTGATGGTAAACAATAATAATAATGATAATAATAATAATAATATAATGATAATAATAATAATATAATGATAATGATAATAATAATAATATGATAAATAATGATAATAATAATAATAATATGTATAAAAATATTGATAATAATTTCTTCTTACTATCATCATCATAATCGTTATCACAACTTCTATCATCATTTTTAAACATTTTAACAATTTAACCTGATAATTACAAAAAACAAACAAAAAATAAATAAAACAAAAAAACAATCACAAAAAATCAACATAACCAAAAACAAAACAACGACAAAAATAAGCAAAAAAAATCAAACAACAACATTAACAACAACAACCACAACTCTCCTCAGTCGGTTCCTCCAAGATCAGATCCGGGAACTTGTTGATCGATCTCACAACATCCTGGTCGGTGATTCCCACAACCCCGTCGATAAGGTACACGATGCCAAGGTTGTAGATGAAGACTTGTGACTCTATGACCGTTGCGTTGTCGACTTGTATTGTCCCGTCTGCGAGAGAGAGAGATTTTGGGGGTTATTGGTTGTGGGTTGTGAGTTGTGAGTTGTGAAGAGAGATGTATTTATGGTCTATTGGTTGTGGCTGTGGGTTATGATCTGTTGGTTGTGGTTGTGGGTTGTGTATGGAGATTTATTTTATGATCTATTGGTTGTGGTTGTGGGTTTGTGTGGGAGATGTATTATGATCTATTGGTTGTGGTTGTGAGTTGTGGTGTGTATGGTCTATTGGTTGTGGTTGTGTATGAAGATGTATTTATGATTTATTGGTTGTGGTTGTGAGATTCCCATTCCCGATTTCCAACAAAACCTATTAATAAGAATAAAACCAATTTCCCATCCAGATTCCCATTCCCGATTCCCATTTTTTCCAACATAATTATTAATATGAACAAACCAAATTCCATCCAGATCCCATTCCAATTTTCCAACAAAACCAAATTCCCATCCAGATTCCCATTCCCGATTCCCATTCCCAATTTTCCAACAACACTATTAACAAGAACAAAACCCAATTCCCACTCGATTCCATTCCCACTTTCCCAACACGAAACAAAACCTACTAATAAGAACAAAACCAAATTCCCATCCAGATTCCCATTCCCAATTTTCCAACAAAACCTATTAATAAGAACAAAAACCAAATTCCCATTCCCAATTTTCCAACAAAACCTATTAACAAGAACCAAACTAAATTCCCATTCCCAATTTCCCAACACGAAACAAAACCTACTAATAAGAACAAAACCAAATTCCCACCAGATTCCAATTCCCGATTCCCATTCCCAATTTCCAACCAAAACCTATTAACAAGAACAAAAAACCAGATTTCCCACTCGGATTCCCATTCCCACTTTCCCAACACGACCCAAAACCTCTCATTAATTACCAGGATTCCTCGAGACGGTGAAAGTGTTGTTCGCCAAGTTGGAGAGTGTGAGGCCATCCTGGAGGTCGTCCTCGTACAGTCGTCCTTGAACCAGGTGGTTGAGGATGAGGTTGTCCCTGAGGACGACGTCGAGCTGGAAGGGGTCTGGGGCATCGGCGTAGAGCATGCCCGCGAGGGCGTTGTTGCTGGGCACGAAGGCCGTGTACTTGAGGGGGTCCAGGTTGTCTGAGGAGGGAGGAGATGTGAGTTGAAGAAATGGAAAGAAAAGAAGAAAGAAGAAAAGAAGAAAATAAGGAGAAGAAGAAAGAAAAACACACACACACACACAACCTATATATATATATATAATATATATATATATATATATATATATATATATATATATATATATAATATATAGATATAATAGATAGATAGATAGATATAGATATAGATATATAGATAATAACAACAATAATGATAATAGTAATAATAATAATAATAATAATAATAATAATAATATCAATGATAATAATAATAACAACAACATTACTATTAATAGTAAGAAAAAATAATAACATTACTACTACTACAACTAATCTAATAATAACAATACAACTAATAATAATAATAACAATACTACTACTACTAATAATAATGACTAATACTACTAATACTGCTACTATAAATACTAATGATAACAATGATAGTAATAATAAAAACAATAATAATAACAACACTAACAACAACAAAAAAACACAAGAAAACAAAACACCAACAACACAACTCCAAGATGCCTCACCGTCGCTGCCGGGCAGAAGGTAAGCCAAGTTAGTGTAGTTGAGATACTCGGCGAAGAAGGTCGTCCTCGGGTCCTGCTCGACTCTCTCGAGGAGGTGGGAGAGGAACTGCGAGGTGGGCCAAGGGCTTCCGAGGAGGGGGGCGGTCTCGAGGTCCCCGTGCTGGGCGAGGAGTTCCTCTACCTGGAGGTGCGCAGAAGGTGGGGTTATAAGGGGGTTTATGCGGGGTGAAGAAGGGTTGTTTGTTTGTTTGTTTGTGTTTGTTTGTGTATTGATTGTATTTATTTATATATGCATTTATTTATTTATTTGTTTGTTTGTTTGGGGGGTTAAAGGGTGAGTTTATGTGGGATAAAGTTTTTATTTTTTATTATTATTTTTTTTTTTTGAGGGGGGTCCAGTTTGTTTGTTTTTTTTATTCGTTTTTCTGTCACCCTTTCTTCTCTTCTTCTTTCTTTTCTTCTCTCTTTTCGTCTACCTTCGTTCTGTCTTTGATTCTTCCTCTTCCTTCGTCTCAAAAATCTCATCTTTATTACTGTATTTCCTATCTTTATTTATCTTTTTCTCTCTTTTTTTTGGGGGAATGTTGAGAAAGTGATTGTGTGTGTGTGTGTGTGTGTGTGTGTGTGTGTGTGTGTGTGTGTGTGTGTGTGTGTGTGTGTGTGTGTGTGTGTGTGTGTGTGTGTGTGTGTGTGTGTGTGTGTGTTCTGAAAAATATATATCCTAAGTGCTATTATAAATGATTTGAAAAGATTTGATTTTCCTCTATCCAAGAAAAAACAAAACAACATTAAACCAACATTAAGAAAGAAAGAAAAAAAGACATCGACAGAAAGTGACTATAAAAACCTGAAAAATAACAAAGATTTCCCTATCCTTTTCATCTATCCGTTCATCAATTTATCAATCTACTTCCAATTCTAATTTTCTTTTTTACTCACCCTCTCATAGTCGACGAAGAGGAGTTCCTGGATGCTGTATGAACGACCTCGTGGAAACACAGACTCACTCTCCAGTACGACTTCCACTCCGTTGGCAAGGAGCTTATCTGTGGAAAAAAAAAAATACTTGAGTTAGCGCTAGATTGAATGAAAGAAAACGTACGTTGCCCGTTTTCTTTATTACTATTATTATTACCTTTGTTTATGTAATTGTTTGTCATCTCTTTTCTTATTCTATAGACATAATGATGTTATGTAATGGTTTATGTCACATTGGCTAAAATCTTATCTCTGGAAATAAATAATAATTTAGTTTGTGCTCAATCGCGTGAAAGAAAACGTATCGTGGTTATGAATTTTCTTTCTTATAATCTTTCGTGTTTATCTTTTTATTTGACTGTTTATTGTTCACTTTTCTTCTTCCTATTCTGTAGCTATCGTTCTACAGTTAAAGAATGGTCTATAGTACGAATAAAGATTGTAGTATACCGTAGATCTGGGTTTTATGTATATAAAAAACACAAAAAAACAACAACTAGGAAATGATTACACAAATATGAATATGTTTTCTAATATTATTTCAAATCAAGACAGTTATCTCCGTGAAAAAATATATATCACATAATTCAATTATGGTTCACCTTTCCCACTCAATGTCTTTTCTTTTTTTCAATTCTTTCTTTTTCCTTCAGTTAAATGCCATAACATATCACATTGGTTAACCTTAAGGAAAACAGTGACAAGGTTAACTAATATATAGAAAAAAAAACGGGAAGAGAAAAATTAATATAAAAAAAAAAAAAAGAAAAAAATATATTGACATATAAAGCAAAAAAGAGATGATATAAAACAAACGTCTTATTTCGTCAGAATTATTGGAATAGGTAAAATAAAAAGAAAAAAAAACGAGGACTTCATAAAGCTATTGACACATAAAACAAAAAATAAATTGAAATTAAAACAAATACAATGAAATAAACGAATTATCTCATCAAACCTAATAACACATATATATAAAAAAGAAAAAAAATATATAAACGTATATATTTCATATAATTCCTGAACGAGATGACTGTAAAGAAAAAAAAGTATAGGAACCGACAGAGAAGAGAAAACCACAGAAGAGAAATCTATATTCTTCCTAAAAATCTAATTATACACATAAAACCCAAAACAAAAAATAAAGATAAAAAATGAATATCGCCTCAACGAACACACACAAAAATAAAAGAAAATAAACACATTAGTTCACCAAATGATTTTAAAACGACATAGAAAACGATAGACAGGCATTAGGGCATTAGGCGGAGGAAGGGAGGAAGTGAGAAAGGTGAGAAGGAGGGAGGAGGGAGAAGTGAGAAGGAGGGAAAGGGAGGAGGGAGGGAGGGAGAGGTGAGAAGGAGGGAGGGAGGAGGGAGGGAGAGGGAGGGATAGGAGGGAGGGAGTGAAAAGGAGGGAGGGGAGTGAGGAGGGAAAGAGAGAGAGAGGAGAGGAAGGGGACGTGATAAGGATGGAGAGAGGAGTGAAGGAGAGGGAAAGGGGGAAGAGAGGGAGAGATGAGAAAAAATAGAAAAAGGAAGGATTGAACTGGATTCTCCAACCACACACACACAAAAAAAGTCTTTAAGCTTTAACTAAGTATATAGGCCTATCTTTACACACGTTCATACAGGTAAAAACAAAATGAAAACTTATAGGCTAAAGTTAAGAGTTTAATGGGGTTTAGTTTGCGTTAAAGAGTTAATTTTGATAATTATGGTGGTTGTGGTTGTTATGAAAATGACGTAAAAAATATAATGACAGTAACATCAATGTAGAAAGATGAGTTATAATGCGATACTAATAGTGACCAAAAAATATTATGGCAACTTTACAACAATATTAATATTATCAAGAACAAAAACACTTGTAGTAATGATAACAAAACACCAACAAAACAACAATGGTAATGGTAACAAAACAACAAAAACAACACTAATAACGATAACAAACAACAACAAAAGCAACAAAACAACAATAGTAACGATAAACAAAACAACAACAAAAAACAACAACAAAACAACAAAAACAACACTAATAACGATAACAAAACAACAACAAAAACAACAAAACAACAATAACAACAACAAAACAACAACAAAAACAACAACAACAACAAAAGAAAACCCTGATAATTCCGACAGCCAAAATATCAATAGATCTATTAACACTCGACTGAAAGAAAACGGGTTGCTTAAATTATTCAGTGTTCCCAGCCTTATCTGTCTGTGTCTGCGCTGTTCCAAGAATGATCCAAATTTGTTGACATTTTATCGTACAAATGTCCCGCAAGGTTGCTGTGCCAGTGTGCAAAGTTGCCATGCAGAGGTTGCGAAATAGATTGGTATGTTTGCGTTGAATGAGTGTTGTGTTTCTGTGTCTGTTTCTCTGTTGTTTTTCTGTTTCTTTCTGTTTCTGTCTGTCTCTGTTTCACTGTCTCCTTCTCTCTCACTTTCATTCTCACTCTCTATCTATCTATCTATCTATCTATTTCTCTCTCCACGTTCACTCTCTCTCTCTTCTCATCTCTCTCTCTCTCTCTCCTCTCTCGTCTCTATCTCTCTCCTCTGCTCCCTCTCCCTCTCTCTCCTCTCTCCCTCTGACTCCCTCTCCTCTTCTCCCTCTCCTCCCTCCCTCTCCCTCCCTCCCTCCCTCCCTCCCTCCCTCACTCCCCTCCCTCCTCTCCCTCCCTCCCTCTCCCCGTTCATCTCCGCTCTCTCCCTCCCTCCCTCCCTCCCTCCTCTCTCCCTCCCCTCCTCACGCCTCTCTCGTTCCCTCCATCTCCCATCCCTCTCCCTCTCCCTGTGCCATATCCTGCGCCATTTCTCCTCCACCTCCCTCCCGCTCCCTCGTTACCGCCTCCTTCACCTCCTCGCTCTCCGTCTCCCTCTTTCCCCCTCCCTCTCCCTCCCTTCCCCGCCTCATCCTCTTCGTTCTCGCTCCTCCGTCCCTCCCTCTCCCTTCCCTCTCTCCTCCTCTCCTCCTCTCATCCTCCGCCAACCCCTCCCTCTCTCTCTCTCTCCTCTCTGCTCTCTCTCTCTCTTCTCTTCTCTCTCTCTCCTAAAAATGTCTCTGTATTGGGTCAATGTGAAGAGCTCTTCAACAGCTGATTCCCTCAATATGCTCATCTGCAAACGCGTGTTACAGAAGATGCACTTGGAATTGAAATATTTCTTGGCCTTCCTATTACTCGCTAAATTTATTGTCAATATAGCAAGACATGTGTGCTATAAACTGGACATGGGACTTTATTAAGAAATATATACATACACACGGCGCGTACACATACACACAGGCACACAGATACACGTACACACACACAGCATCAACATAATTATATCCCTAATACACTGAAACCACACACAGACAACGAAACAAATGCACAACCATCATCAATCCACACACACACCCAAACACACCAAACACCACACTAACTATCTTACACTAGGGCACAATCACACACCCTCTACTAAATATATAATATCATAACAACTAACAACTATGATGTTACACAGCATACCACACAATATATAACACATGTCACACATGCTATCTCGGTACACAGCATGTAGTTGCAGTGCGTGTACGTAGCTAGTTACTGTAGCTCACCCATAATGTCGTGTGTGTGACACTGATAACACGTTAGCTAAAGGATGTGCTGAACGCATCCAAAAAATCCACACAAACCATCAAGTAATTCCACACCATACTCACATCATTACACACACACTCTATATAATATATATATATTATCCTAAAATGTCTCTGTATGGGCAATGTGAGAGCTTTCAACAGCTGATTTCCATATGTTCTATTGCAACGCCGTTTACAGAGAGCAACCTTGGAATCTGAATATTTCGTTGCCTTTTCCCATACTTGTCGTCTAAATTTATGTGTCAAATGAGAAGACATGTGTGCTTATAAAACTAGGCATGGATGGTATATGTATAGATATAGTAGCATACACGGCGCATACACATTACAATATATATACAGGGCATACAGGATTCACTGTAGCAACACACACAGCACACATAAATTATATTCCTAATGACAGTGAAGAAAACACACAAACGACAAAACAAATGCACACACCATCAAATCCACACACACACAAAGCACAACACACACAAACACACACAAGCACAAAACACCAACACAACACACAACCCAACACACACATTTACACCCCCCAACACACTGAAAAACACACACAAACAACCAAACAATACAAGCACACCATCAATCAGTCCACACACATCACACAACACAACACACACACACAACACACACACACACACACACACAACAAACACACAAACACATTCAAGAAACACACACACACACAACACCACAAACAACCAAACAAACACACAGAACCAACCTCAAAAAAAAAAAAAAACGTACCCATACCCAACCCACTTCATAAACAATGATTCACATGACATTTTCCGGGTCAGAAAGGGAGGGGAGTGTTTGACCACCATTTTTTTTCTTCTTCTTCTGAACAAAGTCGCTGAAACATTGTTCATATCGGCAGCAAATGTCAGGGTGAACTCAAGGCTTTGAACTCGTGTGCTGGGGCTGGAGTTGGCTTCCGCAATTGATGGTCTGTCTGCTGTCTGTGGCAATGGTGGGTTGATAGTAATAGGCATGGTATTAGAGGTAGAATTGTAATGGAATTGCAATGGTGGTTTGAAAGTAATAACCATTAGAATTATAATGGAATTAACGTTGAAATGGCAATGGTGGTTTGAAGGTAATAACCATGGAATAAAAGTTGAAATGGCAATGGTGGTTTGAAATATCCATTGAATTGGAGTTTAGAATTGGTAATGGAATTGCAATAGGTGTTGAAAGTATAACCATTAGAATTATAATGGAATAAAAGTTGAAATGGCAATGGTGGTTTGAAATATCCATTGAATTAGAGTTAGAATTATAATGGAATTAACGTTGAGATGGCAATTATGGGCTGGAAGTAATAAGCATGGAATAAAAATTGTAATTATAATGGAATTGCAATGGTGGTTTGAAAGTAATAACCATGGAATAAAAGTTGAAATGGCAATGGTAGTTTGAAAGTAATAACTATGGAATAAATGTTA